AGGCCACACAGTATTATATTTTGGAGTCATTTATCATTTTTATAATTTAAAATGTCCTCCAAGTCAGAGACAATGTCATAATTTTGATTTTCATAGTGGCTAGCAAAGCATTTTAATATCAAGTTAGTCTCATATTTAAGTTAGTTGGTTAAGGAAATTGCCGCTTGTTTGGGACACATGAGAAGCAAAGCTGATCTGTGATATAATTACAAGAACAGCCACAGTCAACCCATGAGGATCTCTGCAGGTGGAGTGGCCCTTTAGCTATGTCTTGAATGGAGGCAAGGCGGACAAGCCTTGAACCAAGATCATTTTTTAAAGGACACAGATGTGATCCATTAGCATCCAAAATGGTGGTCAACAAGCAGAATGACTATTTTAATTCTAAAAGGGGATCCGGAGAGTATATGACAGCATCAAACATAGCATCCCTGAGAGGAAAAAATGCAGTCTCTTGCTCACCTTCTATAAAAATCCTGTTCCTGAGGTATGGGTGAAAAGATAAGATGGAATTCACTTTTAGCACACAAGCCTTGAACTCCTCTTCTAAGCCCCCAAACTCCATTTGCTCTTTGAGGATTTGAATTGGCACCTGAGGTATTTATTTCTGCCTCCTGTTGCCTGGATACTGGAAAAGTTTCTCACACTCACACAGTGCTAGTCACCCATGTCAACACAGCCCCTGCCCCAGCCTCATCAGGCAGGGTCTCCCTGCATCAGCAGACATCTCCGTGGACTATGACTTCCCGGGAGTACACTGTTGTTCCTAGCTTGAAGATCACAGCATTAGAGAATATGACCCTGAGAAAATATTCTCACCACTGTCCTCTATTTCTTTCACCTTCAGAATCAAGGCTTATTTCTGAGTTAATGACTTCTATATATAGGCATATCTCCGAGGTATTGAGGTTTGGTTCCAGACTACTACAATAAAGTGAGAATAGCAATTAAGCGAGTCACAATCTTTTTTTTACTGGTGGAGGGTCTTGCCTTGAATTTGCAAAAAATGCAACCTTGATGAAATACAATAAAATGAAGTTCAATCAAACGAGGTACGTCTGTACAAGGAAGGAGCATCAACTTCTTTTCAACCCCGACATGCATGATCTCTGCCTCCTCCAAGAAGGAGCTAGAATATCTGTTGGGCAAGTTTGCTTGCAAGGATGACTTGTCTCATTGGTTCCTCCTTGTTTTCTGATCTTAATTTTTGGACGGCTAAGGAAAGTCTCCCATAACAAGTGTTGTTTTCTAGAAAATACTCATCTTTCTATAACTAAATTTTAAAAGGAGAGGAGTGGGAAGTACTTCCCTTTCACCTGGCAACCCAATGCATTGAATATACACCACATAGATGAGTAGGTTCTAAAGGTGGTTTGTACTTGATTGGTTCTAGCTGCTCTGAGATCAGACATCATACACTAAAGTCAAATTAATGGACACAGTCTCTCACCAGAGCTCCCACTTTTGCTGGGTTTCAGATCAGAAATGGAGGTTGGAGACCACTCCTTGTGACCTTATTTGCAGAAAAGTTGATTTACTAGGAAAGCTGATAAACCAGCATGATCAACTATATCTCTCCAAGTCTCAAATAAGGCCTCCAGTTCAACTCTGTCAGTTAGTTGGGCTCCATAAAGACATCTGTCACCGCTCTCTTTCTCTTCTTAACTAAAGCTTTGCTAAGAAGGACAATTTAGATCTCCTGTGAATTAAAAATCTTGAATAATGCCCTACTGTATTTTACTCTTGTAATAACATGCTTTAACTGAATCTGATTTTCCAAACTGTTCAATAGCACCTTGTTATTTGGCTCATTGCAAAAGACTCTCTAGTATTAACACATTTTCCAGGGAACTTTTCTGCTTCCTGTTGGTGCATGGTGGGGGCATGGATGTGCGAGTCCCAGCAACTCTCCACCATTATCAGGTGAGCTTTACGATGCTGTCAAGTATTTCATCACAAAGATGAAGTTCTGACAGGACTGAGGTCATGTGTACCTATGAATGCCAAGCCCATACACTTTAATCTCCTTCACATCTCTGCCTCTGCAACCTGCCACTACTGCTATGCAGCATGTTCTCTTCAAACTCAAAAATCCCGTCTGTTCAGTAAAATCGGACTATCTGAGAATGTAATCTAGTGTACACTTACTAGGTTAGCAGCCTCTACTGAGGGTTCCAATGCTTGCTGATAACTGCTTCAACAGTAGATGTCCTGCATCTGAGGGATTCTGTCTCAACAAATGGAGCTTGGTAGGGGCCTTGGGTCAGCAAAATCACAATGGCCATGTATGTGCTTCCCCTTCCAAAGAGAATGTTATATTTTAGAATCTCATGAGGTAAACCTAAAAACAAACAAACCCTCACCTGTGACTTGGATGGTTTTGGCTTATGGTTTTGCTTTTTGCTTAAAATATTCAATCTTGAACAGTGTGTCTCTCTGCACAAACTGAAAATCAGAGTAGATCTCTACCTTGGATTCTCTATGACACTATTGTGGATCTATTTCTTTAAGATTCTTATAAAGGCTATTGTTCAATTGAAAATAGAGGGTCTACGAGGCACATCCTGAATATCCATAGAAGGCTTTTTGAAAAGATCACCTTAAATCTTCCAATGTCTTTAAAAGGGTCTTGCAGTCACACGCTTTGCTTTATATTTACTCTAAATTCCCTTTATCTTCCTTCATATTTAACCTAACATTACCCTAAATATTTACCCTTCATATTTACCTTTTCCTGACAGCACCCTGGATTTGACCTTTGCCCTAAGGCTCCTTCTTGCTTTTGAGAGTCTTTCGAATCTTATTTTCAAACAAGGGCCATTCTTATTTGTTCTACATTCTGCTTGGAAGTGGAATGTCAGTAGAGGCTGCTCACCTAGTAACTGTACACTAGATTACATTCTCTAATTTCTTCTTTAGCTCCTATCTTTTTATCTTCATTTTATGACATGCAGCTAAAAGAAATTAGCCTAGAAATATCCTTAGCCAGATCAATTCATTCATAGAGGCATTTCTATTTTCTGCAGGCGATGATTTTCCCAAACTTTCCACCACTATATACCCAACATCTTATTCTATCTTCTAGCCCCCAATAACATTTCTCTTACCCTCCTTCAAGCCTTCACTGATAGCTACATTGCAGCTCAATGGTCGTGGTAATACCTACTTTCAGGTAACAAAATATTACTCCCGCTACATAGCAAATTCACCTAAAATCGTTCAGTAAAAAATAACATTCATTCTGTTTTGCTCATGATTTTGTATGACAGTAATTTGGGGCAGGGCTCAGGTGAACAGATCCCACCTGAAGGACTACAGACATTTGAAGGCTCGACTAGGCTGGATGTCCAAGAAGGCTCACTCTCATGGCTGGCAGTTGATGCTAGCTGTCCACTGGGAGCCCAGCTCAGCTGTCGGCCAGAACATACAGAGATGGCCCCTACGTATGACATAGCTTCCTCAACATCTTGGTGACTTTGGATAGTTGGATTTCTTACATGGACCCCAAAAGTCAGTGTTCTCATGAGCAGAGTGAAAGCTGTATCACGTTTTGTGATTTGGCCTCAGAGGTCACATAACATCAATTGTACTCTAGTAGTCAAAGTAGTTACAAACCCATGCAGATTCAAAGTGAGGGAATGTATACCCACCTCTCAATGTGAGGAAAGTCTAAGAAGTTTGCAGCCATTTTAAAAAACCCACAAGGGGCCTTGCTGTCTTGCTTTCTCTTGTATCATCACCCCTTATGGTAATGCCAGAAACGCAAAGGGTGCTCTATAAGTGTTTGTTGAAATCATGGATTTTGGTAAAGAAGGGAAAGGAATTATGTGGGTGATACTACAACTAGTGAGACAACATTGAGGTCTTTATCCCTGGGACCTTCAAGAAGAGAAGAGACACTATTGGCTACTTGGGGTGATGTAAGCACTCATTTGTCTAAACACTGGGAGCCCAGCTCAGCTGTCAGCCAGAACATACAGAGATGGCCCCTACGTATGACATAGCTTCCTCAACATCTTGGTGACTTTGGATAGTTGGATTTCTTACATGGAAACTCAGGACCCCAAAAGTCAGTGTTCTCATGAGCAGGGTGAAAGCTGTTATCACCTTTTGTGATTTGGCCCCAGAGGTCACATAACATCAATTGTACTCTAGTAGTCAAAGTAGTTACAAACCCATGCACATTCAAAGTGAGGGAATGTATACCCACCTCTCAATGTGAGGAAAGTCTAAGAAGTTTGCAGCCATTTTTAAAAACCCCCAAGGGGCCCTGCTCCTGTTCCATGTTATTTTGTGTATAGAGTGTTTTTATTATCTTGTGCCACAAAATACAGAGAAATTCTTCATGTGGATGGGAGGAGCTATAGGAATATTATATACCAAGGCCAACTACCTAGACTCTGAGCTAGGATTAGATTCAGTAAATGCCTTTCTTACATATCATAAGCAAGATAAAAAAAGAACCTTAAAAACATTGGTTATTGTTCCTTAGCATCCCCACCTAACAAGTTACCATATTTATAAGTGGAAATATCTTCTGAGAAATGTCAGGCATCTTGTTTGAATTCTTTGAAACAAAACAATTTCTGTGATGCAAGTATAGTGATGCCAAGAAGTCCATCTGCCCCCCAGAATTCCATCCTTTAAATACTTTGTTATGGCAGCACAAAAGAACACAATGAGTTATGTTTAGAGTGTCAGTCTTCCATCTTTGGGCTAAAAGGATTAGGTCTAAATGGCACATCATTACATAAGACTGCATGAAAATGTTTCTTTTGTCCTTAAAATACTTCATGGTATTTTATAAATAGCCAAAAATATTAATTGGACTGAAAAAAAACATTCAGAAGGCCTTAAATAGTACATGTGTCAGGCATTCTAATTTATGTGATTATTTTTCACCCAAAAGTCAGGGAACTTTTCAAGTACAATCATTTGTTGGACATGGTAGGGGTTGAGGAGAGGCCGTATATGTGGTGGTTAAAAGCACAGATTTTGGAGTCAGTCAGATCTGTTATAGCCTCTCTGGTCACTAAGTGTGACTAGGAAATTTACTTAACTTTTCTGTGGCTTATTTTTCTCCTTTGTAACATGGAGATAAAAATATTCACCATCTAGAGTTGGCTTAAGGGTTAAATGGGATAACATAAGTAATCCACTTATCTGTGCTTGGCACAGAATAGCTGCACAGTTAACAAGTCAGATAAGAGTGAGCATGTATTTTTGATAAGTAGTGTGTGTGTGTGTGTGTGTGTGTGTGTGTGAGAGAGAGAGAGAGAGAGAAAGGAGGAGGGAGGGGAGAAAGGAAGGAAGAGAAAAGGTGAGAAAGGTAAAGAGACTGATGGAGAGGAAGAGAGAATATTTTGGTAAGGGTGTATAGAGAACCTTGTTAGAAACATAGTGTGGATGTGATGATGGTTATTTGCTGATGCTAATGTATTTGATGAAGGGATTTTGAATGTTGAATATGTTGGAATGGAACAGGAATGGAATATGAGGAAACATTTGGAGATTTATGTTACTTTGAGACAGTCACCTGTCTCCTATACATAGAACAAAGCAGAAAGTCAGAAACATTTCCCACTTCCTGCTCCCCATTCTGTTCCCATTTCAACCATACTTTCGTACCCCTTCCAGCACTTGTTCCCACCCAATGTCAGAGGTCTGTCCTTTGAACAAGATTCAGCTGTCCACTAGGTGAAAGAGTTGGAAAGCCAGCAGGCCATAATGATGTCACTGCAAATAACAGAGGTATTTCCACATTATTATGGGAGGAAAGTCCAGTGTAATATACAAATAAAAATGGACTTTCATAGGAAACAAGAGTTGGAGAAGGAGTGAAAGAAAGATTTTGAGGTGTGCAAGGCCTTTCCTTCCTTTTTAAATGAACTGGTAAGGTCATTTCTTCCTTTTTAAAAATATTTTTTATTGATTTCAGAGAGGAAGGGAGAGGAAGAGAGAGATAGAAACATCAATGATGAGAGAGAATCATTGATTGGCTGCCTCCTGCACACTCTCAACTGGGGATTGAGCCCACATCTCGGGCATGTGTCCTTGAGCAGAATTGAACTCTGACCTCCTGGTTCATAGGTCGATGCTCAACCACTGAGTCACGCCAGACGGGCAGGTTATTTCTATTTTTAACATTATATGTTGGGCCATTTGGAAAAAATACATTCAGTGATATAATGCAGTAATCTTCGCATTAATTAGAATAATAATTTCCATTGCTTAAGGATTATTTATATAATGGTTTTGTTTAAGTTCTGGGTTTTACAATGCTTTCTGAAAAAAGAAATAGATTTGTATATTACCTTAACACAAGTCTGCTTGAAAGCAATTCTAACACCCTTCAAATAACCTTTTAAAATATTACTTATGAATCTAGGCACTTCAATAAAATGTTTCCTGTTTTTCATTTCCCTAAGGCTAAAGTGACACAATTATTAGCTTTTGATAGAGTTAAACAATAACCACCTATGCTTACCTTTGTGGAAGAATGGAAAACAAATATTCTTTGCAGCGTTGTAACAGTTGAAAAGATTCCCATACTTCAGCTTTTTCTTATTTTTCTTTTTTCCTGGAAGAGCACAAAAGAATTAAAAACTAAATTTCTAAATACATTTTTTTCTCTACTTCAGTGCTGAATAAAGTTCTTTCTGTCTCGGAATGTTAACATTATCATACTTTCTAACGGGGACCCTTTTTGATTCTGTATAGTAGTTACAATGTGCCAGGTAACATTCTAAATGCTGGGGATGTTCCAGAAAACAAAACACCAAAATTCCTGTCATCATGGAGTCTGCAGTCCAGTGGGAGGAGACAGAAGAGGACCAATATTTAGAAATATAGGATGTGGTGATAAATGATAAGGAGAAAATTAAGGCAGGAAGAGACTAGGGAGTGTCAGTGGGGTTGGGCAGGGATTGTGATTTCGGATAGAATGGTCAGAGAAGGGCTCTTGAGAAGATGACATTTAAGGAAAGATGTGAAGGAAGTAGAGGAGGATGCCCTGTTTTAAGTGACAGTTAGCAGGCCAAAGTGGAGTCAGTCAAGGGCAGAATAGTGAGAAATGAGAAGTAAGAGGTGGCCAGTCTGGGAGTCTATTATAAGAACTTTGGCTTTTATGCCATTACATTAAATGGCATTATAAGTATAAAATGAGAAGCCATTATAGGTATGTCTACATCTGCTTGTCTCTCAAGATTTGTTCACCACTCTTGTCCATCCAGTTCTCTGACCCGGGGAAGTTGAACTGTATTTTCCTGTTTCTCCTCATCACCAATCACATTTCTTCCTTTTGACTACCTTCCCCCTCTTTCAATAATCCATGTGTCCCTCTTGCCAGGGAAGCAGAGACCAGATACCTGTGTTTCTCAGCAGGTCTCAACAGTGGACCTGAGCTTGCCTGTGTCAGTGCTAGGAACCTACTAAAATGCAGATTCCTTGGACTCACTCAATGCCATCAGGATTGCTGGGATTGGGGTCCAAGAATCTGCATGTTTAAACACTTCCTAGGTCAGTTCTTTCTTTCTTTCTTAATATATTTTATTGATTTTTTTACAGAGAGGAAGGGAGAGAGAGTTAGAAACATCGATGAGAGAGAAACATCCATCAGCTGCCTCCTGCACACCCCCTACTGGGGATGTCCCCGCAACCAAGGTACATGCCCTTGACCAGAATCGAACCTGGGACCCTTCAGTCCGCAAGCCAATGCTCTATCCACTGAGCCAAACCAGTTAGGGCCCTACGTCAGTTCTTTCTTAATGTGAGGCTTAAACATTACAATCCTAGATCGTAGTAACAGCAGCCTTCTGATGGGTATCCAATAAATTGTATTCATTTTTTTTTCTTAGCTCCAAATACAGAAACTTAGAAATATTTGGTTTGGCTCTACTATATTTTGACTATTATCACCTGCTAAATTGGTTTATCTTTATTCAATGCTTATAAAATACTTTATTTTGTGAAATATTTCATCATTAAGTATATCCATAAGAACCATTTTTCACACTCCTCATCCACTTGTGTCTTATGAGACTTGATAACTGGTTTCCAAATTTATAAACTGTGAAAGAATTATCTGTGATGTCTATGTATTTTTGTTTAACAGCACTGATTTTATTTTTATTTAAATTCTAATTTTCCCAAGATGAATCATTTTTCAACGTTATATTTGAATTAGAAATAAAGGTACCCTAAAGTTACTTATAAATGTCATATACATTTTCAACTGTTCAAGTTGGCAGCACTGAACTTTGAAAACCTTCAGAGTTATGGAAGGAAAATGCGTCTGTGACTTAGACAGTTGCAGAATTTGTGGCAAGGAATCCACATTTCCTAGTAGTTTGTACAGCGTTGCTCTCACATTACGCCCAGTCTTCTGTGAAGAGACACTAGATTGATGTTTCCCAGAGTATTTCTGTTACAGACTCCAGAGTTCGATGCTTTTAAACAAATACTGTCCTTTCATTTTTTTGCAGATTTCATAGGTTAATTTCCTTGTACCAAAATTTGCTATTTTAAGATACTGAGGCAAACAAGACTGTCGGAAATAAAGAACAAGGGAGGCACTGCCATGTACTAAGCAGATAATAATAAATATCTACCTGAGTAGCTGAATCTAATCCCTCTGAAGACTGGTTCATTTGGCCTCTTACTAATAATTTAAAATTCTTTCCTAGCAGAGAGAGGGTGTGGTATTTTGATTGAGGGAGCTGCATAATGGATTTGGCTGAGACCAAAGGTTAAACTTGCCTTTTAAGCTGGAAAGGATCAGATGGAGTCTTTATGGCCCATTCTGGCTGGACTGTGTTTACAACGAATACTCAAAAGCATGCATTTCCTCTCAAATATTAGGGTTTGCAGCTGCTGGTTAAAAATACATCCAAATGGATACCAAAAGCTGAAGCAAATAGTCCATACATTTTAAGGATATGAGAAGAAAGGCTTGTGAATCTTTTAAATATATATTTTATTGATATTTTTACAGAGAGGAAGGGAGAGGGATAGAGAGTTAGAAACATTGATGAGAGAGAAACACCGATCAGCTGCCTCCTGCACACCCCCTACTGGGGATATGCCCGCAACCAAGGTACATGCCCTTGACCAGAATTGAACCTGGGACCCTTGAGTCCGCAGGCTGATGCTCTATCCACTGAGCCAAACCAGTTAGGGCAGTGAATCTTTTAATAATTACGTTGCACATAACAAAATGTCTTATAATAAAAGAAATTCTTGCAGAATTTCTGTTTCTCTATGCCTTTGGTTAAATTGCTTAAGTCAATGTGTTTAACATGAGTGCATTTTTCAGAAAGATAAATTTCCCATTTTTAAAAAACAATTGCACATTTTTGTTAGTAAAAGGGCATATAAAAGCTCTAAATATTAGATATACTAGATGGTAGATGAAGATTAATCTATACAAAAAGAAAGAACATTTTCTATTATGTACCCCAAGAGGCTTTGTTTACATTACTTTACATTGTTATATAAGGATTATATTGGATTTTGGAAATCCTAAGTCTGAAAAGAACCCTGAAAGTTATTTAATTCAGGAACACTACAGTCAACAACAATGATAATAATATAGCTAAGCTTTGTGCATTTACCATCTGCTGGGCACTGTTTTAAGAAGCTTCACCTATGTGATCTGAGTGAACCCTTATGACGTAAATATTAACTTCATTTGACAGATAAGGGAACTGAGACACAAAATGTTTAACAAATCTGCCTGAAGTCAGAGCTGGCACGTGGAAGAGTCGGCACAAGAGCTGAAGAAACACTTGTGAAATGATCCCAGCCAGTTCTACCCATGAAAAGTGTACACAGCTGTTGAGAGTGTGATTTGAAGGTGCCAGAAGGTCTAACCAAATACATCGCCTTCAACAGTTTACAACACTGTTTCAAATTCCCACCAATTGAGAGTGCTTTGTACTAAGACAATGCCTTCAAAAGGCTGTATCTTTAAAAATATTACCTAAGAATTGCCCATTAATGATAGCAAGACAAAGTTGACACATTTTAGGGAGATCTGGATGATAAAAGGAGAAAACAAAAGAGTTGCTGAAGGCAAATACCACAATATACATACACTCTTGGTTAACCTTGGCAAATGGAGGGGTGGTAAAGACAAAATTCACCCCCTTGGCTTCAGCTATAGATGGAAATTATCCATTTTAAGCTGTCTTCTCATTTGGGAGATAGAACCATACCAGAGAGTTAAAACTTTACTATTTGCAATGGTAAAACTTGGCTAACAGCAGAAATTATGTATATTTTCCTCACCACTTCCCTTTTTTAACAAAGATTCCTATTAGATGTCTCACATATGAATCCTAATTGATATATGAAATTTCCAATATATATGTGAGAATGCATAGACCCTAAGCATTGTCCAAAGATTTCATCATATTCTCATAAGTATATATGAACCCACAAAACAGCACAAATTGAACCTAGCCCATCTGCACTTCTTACATATTCTCTAAAATTAGTGTCTGCTTTAACAGCTAAGAGAGCATATAAGTGTTTCGAATTATGTATCCTAATGAGTATCCAGGGCTACATTCATGCTGATATTTTAGATAGCCAAATATGGTATGCAAAATGACCACGACCAGGGTAACATTACATGCCACAGGCTTGCTATAATTATCTTTCACATTTTTACTGTGTTTCTGCAACAATGGATGCAACTATTCAGGATTGGAGCTTTAAGTAAATAATATGCTATGGGGAAGTGAGACAGGCATGTGGATAAAAGTTCTTGGGTTAGGCAATTGGAATGAATAGTCAATTAATAAAAAAATGCTTTTCAAAATGAACATACTGATCTGACATTCTCACTGAGCTATTAGCAGGTTCATTTGAGTTCTTAAAAAATTTTCTTTACTCTGTGTTTAACAACAAATGTGGGCCAATTGCTGAGTTAATTGAAAAGGATTGTTTTCTTGTTGCCAAGAAACGGCACTTTCTTACATTATGCAGGCCATTATGTGCACAGATCAAGCCTCCTGATTTTTCTTTGAGGGCTTAAGAATATAGGCTGCTCTGATTTAGTTCTGTCTGGAAGAGAGAAGCACAAATCAAGAACACTTTCAGGGGTGTTGTGTTGTTCCATTTCCATTTACCAGGTAAGATTTGGATTTGAAAGTACTACCTTGTTCCTCATGCTTAACTTTTCCTAAATCACTTAAATGCTTTTATGTTGAGTGAATGAGTAGATCTAAATGATGCTTTACTTGGGAGAATTTAGAATCATTCTAAGTTGATTTTTTTCCCCTAGCTGTATGTTCTGAGGGGAAAAAAATGTAAAGATCATAACAGACGTCCGTGAAACTGGCTGCAGAGTTTTTTTCTTCTTGATTTCAGAGTAGTAAATACATGCAAAGCAAGAAGCTGTGAGTGTGTTTAGAGTTGAAATAGCAAATCATTGCCATGGGAGCAAATGTTATTTCTATTTGGAGCAAAAATGTCAAATCTTGTCTGACTAGTTCCAACTGAGAAATGAGCTTTATATTTGTTAACTTCTTAAGGAAAATTTGTTTATCTTATGCAGAACTACACCACATGTCTCTCTTTTTCTAAAAAAAAAACTGTATCTCTGTTGGCTACTTTCTTTATGATTTTTGCCTTGTAGAACTACATCACATGTCTCTCTTTTTTTTAAAAAAAAACTATATTTATCTCTGTTGGCTACTTTCTTTATGATTTTTGCCTTGAAGATGAAGATAAATCAGGGTCCTTGTATTTGGATAGTGCTGGGTCCTTGTACTCTGTTCGTGAAGTTTACACCTTACCTGGAAACAAATACACAGTTCCCACAAAAATGGTAATAAGTCACACCAGGTATACATACAGACAAAAAGTCACTCTTCTTCCTCAGGAAGGAAAATAGCATTTCTTGATTCAGTTAGTTACTCCTAGGCTCACCAACGCAGGGCTCATTCTATCTAGGTAATAATGTGGGGCAAATGCTTGAAAAGGACTTTGTGAGATGTTTGTTGAATCAAATCATCCTCCCACTCTTAATAGTTCCTACTCACATAGGCTTAGGTTGAACTCTGCAACCCCAAGAATTTACACTTACAACATCACACAGTTTATAGACTATATGTTGAAAACAAGTGTTTTCAAATTTGCAGAGGAACCTAGTTGAGTGCTGTTACTGGCCCGTTCTTTCAGTCATATTTTACCTCTTCTCTTCCTTGGCTCTGGGTTTCGTAGGAATATATTTCCTTTACAGGGAAGAGCATCGAAATGGATACAAGTCAGGTCAAATATTTGTTGTCTCATTAGGCAAGTTTCCATTTGTTCAGAGTTTGAAGAAACATGAGTATAAATATGACCTGAGTAATACGAATCCTGGTTGAAGCTGGAAAGAAATTATAGCATGCCTTTACCTGATAAATGATTTGGGTTTTCCACAATGAACCAGTGCTCTGGTAAGCAAACTATTATGTGAAATAATGTCGATGAAGTAATAGTTGAATATGACTTGCAATCCATCTCTTTATTTTTAATTTGTCAAATTGGAGTCTTTCTTTAATTCCTATATTTTTTAATTAACTGAAAGAATCACAGTATCATCAGCTATCACAAATCCAATATTTACATAGCAGTAACATTGAAGCAGCCCATTTAAATAAGTGCACGGTTTGTAGTTATGAATACCTGGTGTGACTTAGTACCATTTTTGTTGGAACTTTGTATTTCTTTCCAGGTAAGGTATAATTAAACAATTCTGTTCTGGTTTACATTCCTTTCTTTACCTTGTCAAAAGTGTTCTTTGCCCTGAAAATATACTTTGATATTATTGGCACTATGGTGCTTAAAATATCTATGGTGGTAAAATTTTTGCTTAGTCATTTTTGCAATTATTGGAGCAAAGTGACAAGTGAATATGTGGGATAGGTGGAGTGGAACAAAAGTCAGACTGATACAGTATCTTATAGGTAGATTTCTGAACAGACCTAGCACACCATTTCTTCTGTGTCATGTTAACTATACAGGAAATATTTAATAGTGAACAAAATCTTGACTTTATCTGATTACTATTTTTAATTAAACAAATATTAGGTATTTGTTGAAATATTGATTTGCTTCTCTGTGGATTAAAAATTATGCAAAAATAATGATGTCCATTTAGGTTAGTATGAAAATCAGTCTATAAAATTTTTGTTCAACCTTAATTAAGAAGATACCGAATAGCATTGATTTAGATCTCAGTGACTGAAATACCATGAAATGTTAGACTTGTAAGATCACTTATTGATTATTGAATCTAATGGCTCTGAAACTTTATTTTGAGGAGACCTATAACAATGGTGAGTGTGTGAAGGTGGGGGGAGATGGTTAAATGGTGATGTAGGAAAATAAACTATTTCAAACAGCCCATACTTTTTGAGTTTGTCTGCAAGAACACAGCCAAAGAGTATTTCCTTGGTGGAAATAAAGATGCACTATATTAATAGGAATGTTCTCATCTACAATTCAAGAAACCTAGTAGAATAGAAGATTGATTTGACATATCTCAGAAGGTTTTAGACAGTCAATTCTTCTATTGCAGGCACTCATCATTTTTTTAATTTAAATACTTTATTGCTTAATGTATTACATAAGTCTCCTTTTTTCCCCCCGTTGACCTCTCCCCGGCTGCCCCCAACCCCCAGCACATGCCCAAAATTTATTTATTTTTGCCACTAGGTTATTTATGTCTTTCATTGTTGTAGAATTATTTTAGGGATCTTTACTAAGTAGCTTAGCAATTTTTTTTAACATCACCTATTTTTTAAAAATTGGTATTACTTATTTTATGGTACAACTCTTCAACATCATATCAAAGATTTCTAAAAACTTTGTATTTTTGATTGCTATTTTTCCCATACTCTTTTGATATGAAATTTACGTAACTTGAGGAGTTCAGAATAATATATAAAATAATAATACTTTCTTACTCTCTTCTTAACTAAAATGGACTTTCTAATGTTAGGTCATTTGTCTACATGGAGAAGATATACACAAGATATTTTAGTAATTTTAATTCTGTTGTTTATTTATACACAGTCAGCACCAAACTTTATCTTGCTCTTTAAGCCACGAGGGACATTATTTCCTTTTGTCCTTAACATTTTTGTCCATGTGGGATTTTTAACTCCTCAACAGCAATGATATGATTTTTTTAAAAAAATTATTCTGGTAAGTTCCTTTTTCTACATTTGTGTGGGGAAGGGAAAATTTTTCCCTCTTTTCATTCTTACTTATTCTAGCTAGTCTAATAATAAAATGAGATGAGACAGATTTAGAGAAGAACATAGCCAAACTTAATTATGTATGTACATATGGGGGTTCCATAAAAATATGGGGCAGTTGAGGCTTATCTGCCATCTTGAGCTAAGGAGAAAAGTAAGGGTTAGTGGTTTGGGACTTCAAAGGGGAGGAAGGCAATTTACATGGAGATGGAAAAGCAAATGTTTGGTAAATACATGTTTGCTGGGCCATCTTTAACAATGGGACCCAGAGAGGACCTTGATCAAATGAGCCTTGCTAGGTTCCTCCCTGTCCATCACACTTAGTTCATATTGAACTACAGTTATCTGTGATGATAGCTCCCCTCCTGGAGCAGGTCCTGCATCTAAATTCTTTTAGGCAGTTAGGGGGGAGATGAAAGGTTCTTCCTGGTCTTTCCTTTCTTAAAAGTAACCAGATTAAGATAATTAAGATCTCCCCAAAGGCACATTTTGAGGTGGTAAACTATGCCCCTCTCCCTCATTTATCTATAAGTATTTCTAAAACCTGAAAATGTAATCTTTCTCCTGTTCCTTCTTTTTGGACAGTTGTTCTCGGTTTTGGAATGTCTGAAATTTTTATTTTTTGGTTGCAACCACAAGGTTGGGTACTTCTGGCATACAGTGGGTAGAGGACAGGGATGCTGCTAACCATCCTACAATGCACAGGACAGCCCCACAACAAGGAAGCATCAGATTCCAAATGTCAATAATGCCGACATTGAGAAACCCAGCTTCACAGGCCTCATATACTGTATCATGGCCGAATGCATGATTACGGGTTAGAATTTTTGTTTTAGAACATCCTGAAATCTCATGTGCCTTCATTCCTTTTGTTTATAATTTTGGCCTATAGGATCACACCTAATTTTTAATTGACCTTTCTGGAATCTGCCTATATAAAGTCTAGGAATCATGATCTTACTGGATTTTCCAGTTTTCCCACCTTTGATTGTTATCAGTACCAAAATGACAATGGTTGCATTATCTTTAAGCTCATGTCACGTCATATTACTAAGTAACCGTTAGTCCAAATGACTCATAGAGTATTTCCCTCATTGCTTTTACTTGTGGCTAAGGAAGGGCTCATTAGGACAAGACAATACTATCATGTTTAATTACTGTGCTCCTGATTTCATGTCCAAACTCACTCTTCAATAATCATTTGTTTATTCTAGAGCTATTTATTCAACACCTATCATATTCCAGAAACTGTGTTATGTTGGGAATTTAGCAGTGACTAAGACAGAAACCTATTTTTGTAGTGATTGCATTCTAGTGGAAAGCAGAAGATCCAAAATCCCGTTCCTTCAACCATTTTTCATCCTGGTCTATTATATGCTCAAAACAAAACAAAGCAGCAGAATCTGGTGCATTATAAATAGTTGCAAAAGCTTGTTGTTGTTGTTTTTTCCCCATGTAAACCCTCTATTTTTGATGGAATGCTCAAAACCTTTTCATTGATTTCTTTTTTTTTTATTTAATCCACACCCAAGGATCTTTTTCCATTGATTTTCAGAGAGAATGAAAGGGAAGCAGAAGGAGGAGGAGGAGGAGGAGGAGAAGGAGGAGCAGGAGGAGGAGAAGAGAGATATGCGAGAGAGACATATCAACTGGTTGCCCCCTGCATGTGACCCCACCAGGGGTGGGGAGCAAACCTGCAATCGAGTTATGTGCCCTTGATCAGATATTGAACCTGTGACCCTTTGGTCCATGGACTGATTCTCTAACCACTTAGCAAAACTTGCCAGGACTTCATTTATTTTTAACCTTCACTTTTTGGCAGATGTCTCTATTCTTAACTTGCTCAGTGTGCATTCTAGAGAAGACTGACTTTGAGGTAAATTTTGAATGAATGAAAATAGAATATTTGATGAATTAAAATGATGTTAGTATGAAAAGTGTCTGGCATTTAGGGAGAAAAAGACTTAGAAGTAAAGATGGAAAATTGTGAGAGGAAGAGACCAATTGTGCCTGAAATCTATTTCATTTGCTAAGTCAAAGAAAAAGGGAAAAGGAAAGAGAAGAAAGGGAAAAGAAATAACAAAAATAAGGAAAGAATATTTCCAGTTTAACTGTACCTCTGAGTAATTCTTTTCCTCTGCTGGATATTTCTGTCTCTGTTGAATTCTTTAGAATTCCTTACTTATTTTATAATTTACTCCTCAATAGTTAGGTAGTAAATTGGTCAATATTGGCCAATTTCATATGATCCAACCTAATATATATATTATAAAAAACAAATCTTATTTTCCCAAACATAATTTTATATGATAAAAGTCTGACATAACTTAATAATGCTGAAATGTAAATGTATTGGCTGTTTAAAAGAATTATAAAAAGATACCACTAGAAAAATAGTTTAGTCATTAAGAGCCTTGAGCAGAGGTCAACAATCTATTCTGCGGGCCAAATCCAGCCTACCACATGGTGTTGTACAACCCATAGGGTAAGAATTCTTTTTACATTTTTAAAATGTTGAAAAACAATAAAAGAAGAATACTTCAGGACATGAAAAATATATGAAATTCAAATTTCAGTGTCCATGAATAAAGTTTTTTTTAAGAATAAACCAAGCTCGTTCATTTATATGTTGTCTTAGGCTGCTTTCCTTCTGCAAAGACAGAGTTGAGTATTAACACAAACTTTATGGCATAAAATACTTATTACTTGTCCCTTTGCAGTTGACCACCCATGTCCTAGAGTCAAGCTTTTACATTCAAATACCAATGCCACCACTTCTTAGTCTGTGATTTAAGTAAGTTATTTAACCTTCGTGAGCTTCAGTTTACACGTTTTAAACTAGGCATACTTATAATACCTTATAAGATAATTATGAGTGTCTGGTACATCATAAGTACTCTATAAATGTTACTATAATTATTAATATTCTTCCAGGGTGCCATTGTAAATTATTGGAAAAAAATCTACAGAAGCTCATAGCTTGGTCAGTGGGGCTCAATGATTGAGCATGGACCTATGAACCATGAGATCACTGTTAGATTCTGGGTCAGGGCACATGCTTGGGTTGCAGGCTAGATCCCCAGTGTGGGGTAAGCAGGAGGCAGCCGATCAATGATTCCCTCTCATCACTGATGGTTCTATCTCTTTCTCTCCC